CTTTTAATAACTTTTTTTTTTTTTTTTTGGTCTTCTTTCGTTGTTATTCGTCCCTCTGAGGTTCTGGCTTTAGGATTCCTTGTAGTATTTTTTGGAGTGGGGGTTTAGTCGCAATGAAATTCCGGAGTTTCTCTTTGTCTGGGAAGGTCCATATTCTTTCTTCATGGAGGAAGAGAGCTTTGCGGGATAGAGTATTCTTGGTTGGCATCTGTTTTCTTGGAGTCTGTTGACTATGTCCCTCCACTCTCTCCTTGCCCGTAGTGTTTCTTCAGAGAAGTCTGATGTCAGCCTGATTGGTTTTCCTTTGAATGTTATCTGTTTCTTCCCTCTTGTCAGCTTCATTATTTTTTCCTTGTCCTGGATTCTTGGGAGCTTTACTATTATGTGTCTTGCTGTGTTTTTCCTTTCGTCGTGGAAGTTTGGTGTTCTTCTTGCTTCTTGTATATCAATTTTCAGCTCCTTCTTCTCATTTGGGAAGTTCTCTTCAATTATATCCATGAATATTTTCTCTGTTCCTACATGTCTCTCCTCTCCTTCTGGAATTCCTATAACTCTTATATTTCCTTTCCTCATGGAGTCAGATAGTTCCCGAAGTCTTTCTTCATTCTTTTTCCTTCGTACTTCTCTTTCCTTTTCTGTTTTGGTTCTTTTTATTTCTGTGTCTTCAAGATTACTTATTCGTTCTTCCATTTCATCTATTCTGCTTTCATTGCTTTTCCCAGAGTTCTTTAGTTCCTCCATTAATTCTTTGATCTCCTGCATTTCTCTTACTTCCCTCTTTAGGGACTCAATTTCCTTCTTCTGATCTATCACTTTTTTAATCATGGCAATTTTAAATTCTCTTTCTGGAAGGCTCAGAAGTTCTTCCAAGTTGCTGTCGTTGCAATCTGGGGAGTGGTTTTCTTTTTGTGGTGTGCTTCTTTCCTGAGGAGTTTTTAGGTTGCGTGTGGTTCTTCTACTCCCTACTGTCTGTTTTCTAATTTGTCGTATGCGTTGGGACACTGTGTTGCTCGGACTGACTGACATCTTGGGTGAACTTCTCCGCTCCCCTCTGGCTCTTCCAGGAGCCATCTCTGTCTTCTGGGGGAGCTTTCTGCTGGTTTTAGGCAGTTTTTACTGAAGAAATGTCCCTGTTCTCAAATGGCGAAGCAGGATGCAGTCCCTGCGCCTCCGGTTTCAGGCACACTCTTCTGCGCACCCGGTCTGCCCCGGACGTGGGTGCCTGCTCCCTCTGTGGGCTCAGACTGCTGGTCGGAAGGGGCCTGGCGTGGAATAACTTCCCGGCTGGCCACTGGGTCCTCCAGAAACCTTCTGCCCTTTTCAAGCAGTCTTAAGAAATGTCCTGTTTTATAGGGTGTTAGTGACTTTTTTTTCCTGGTCGCTAGGTGGCGCCAGAGATCTCTCCTATTATCCTTGGGGGGCTGTTTTTCGCCTCCCCCCACCCCGTGGGACAGAGAACAGAGCGGGAATGGTAGGATACACCTCAACAGCTTTGGGGTGCTGTGTCTGCCTTGTGCCCCACCGTCGTGGAGAACCCACGCCCCGAATTTTCGTGCCCCGGGTCTCAGTTCAAAGCCCTCAGTTCCAGGACGCGGGCTATAGCCCAGTTCAGTGGCGCGGGAATGGCGCCTTTTGCACAGCTCCCGTGCCTGGGCGCCTGGATCCTGCTCACTCAGGGAGGGACCTTCACCTCAGTGAGGACCTCCGTGCGTCTCCCCGCAAGCCTAGGTCGCAGGCGCGGGGACCTGGGCAGCCGCGATCCAGGTCTGCACTTGCTTTTCAAGCTCCCCGAGCGTGCCGCGTTTCCGCGCCAGCTTACCGGCAGCCCGGGCTGTGTGCGCGTCTCCCGGGGTCTTTGTTCTTCTCTAATGGCGCCCGGAGCCGTTCGCTCACCGCCGAGGCGGATCCTGCAGGGTTCGCCTCAGCTCCCGTTCACGGGGTGTGGTGGCTGCAATAGTTCCTTTCCACTCCCAGTCCCGCTTGCTGCGTGGTTTGTTCTTGTGGGCTGTTTTGGTTTGTTGTTTCCTCCTCTCTGCCGGTTGGAGAGTGCTGCCTCTGTGGGCGGGGGAGGGGAGCAGGGTTCTGCGCTTCCCTCCCTTCTGGTCCTCTTTTATGGCCACTTTCTTCTTCGGGCAGTTCGCTGGCGTCACCCGTTTATCTTCCGTGTCCCACTTCTCACTGGGACCTGCCGCTTTTCCTCCCTATTAACTTTTTTTAATGGGAGATCTTACTCGCAGCGTCTCCTCGCCCTATTTTACTGGCTTTTAACTTGGATTCATTTGGAGCTAGATGTATAGATTAATCAGGTGAGAAAATTTTCTGTCTTTTTGGAAATGTTTGAAGTTAAGGAGTCTCCTCTCTCTCAACTTGGTAACCATAGCCAATGTAAAAAGCTTGTCTTTTGTTCCTTCTTTCTCTGTAGCAATGCTAGTAGGCAAAGGCATGGATGGATAATTCGATTGTTTTTTTTTTAAAAGATGTATTTATTTATACAAGCACTGGGTACAGTCAGAAGACTAGGAGGGTGAGAGAATTCACCAGAGCCAGAGCAGGGAGCAGAACAGGCAGAAGGACCGAAGTACATTGCTGAGTAGAGCAGGGGGTGGCAGGAGAGGTCTGCGCGCCATGTGGGACCCTCGCCTGGCGGCCGGGGATCGAACTGGCCCTGCAGAGGCTGCAGGCAGCTTCGCAACCTAGGGCTCAACCCCTGTGCCACCGGGGAGGCCCGATAATTTGATTTTTCTCTCTTTCTGGTGTGGGTAATCCTGTAATTTTTAATGTAATTTTTAATAATTTTAAATTTTTAATATCAAGTCTTGCTGCATTTTCCCCTATGGATGGCCTCTGCTTCTCTTTCATTTTTAAAAACCATTTAAAAAATTTATATGTATTTTACATCATTGCTCATTTTTAAACAATGTTTGCTTCCCCCAACCCCCAGTTGTAGTCCCCATAGAGTTTCCTTCACCAATGCACCCGTGCACCATCACCGCAGTCCCCTGTGCTCCTCCTTCCCTCCCTCTGATCCCTCTCCCTCCTCCTTCCCTGCAGGATGTCCCTGGTTTATAATTGTCTTTTTTTTGTATTGTTATTATTTTTATTGTTATTTTTTTTAAAAGGAAGTGTCAGTATCAGCCTCTCAGTTTAAATAAGAGGACTCAATATCTCTTGTGACCAAGTGAATACTCTAGTGCTAAGATTTTCCTAAGTCACATTATTTCTTCTGGAAATACCTTTTTATTTTGTAAAACTGTAACTGGACCTAGCATACACTAGTATATGTTATAGATACACGAGGACTCTCTCTGCTCAGTTTTGTGGTAGTGAGTGGAGAAATACAAAATAATTCCTTCCCTGGAGGAGTTCATACTTTACAGGGAAACAGCAGAAAGTAAGAATGTATAGAACGTGTTAAAAGAAAATGTCGGTGCCAAACAGAACACAGAGTTCAAAGCAGGGAGGCTCAGGTTTGTCACAGGCGCAGACAGTTAAAACATGTAATGAGAGCAGGATTTGGACAGTGAAGTAGAGATGCAAGAGGGAGAGGCCTAGGGTCAGAGTGCTGGCCGTGTGCTGTCCACATATAGTGAGGAAGTACCACGGGGCTGTAGCAGGGTGATGGGTTATGGGAGATAGGTGGAAAGGTTAGGATGAAGGACTTTGATTAATTAGTTTGACCTACCAGCTCAGTGGAGGTGCTGGTAGGAAACAGCTCAGTTTAATAGATCATTTACTAAGTTGAAGGATGTGTGTAAGAGTAATCAAAGTAGTAATGATAGGGTGTTAAAACTACCTGTATGCCAGGGAGGTGAAAGAATGGGTAGTTACCAGGATCCAGAGATTGAAAAGGCTCTGACAGGAGCTAACCTAGTAGTGGGGGAGGACAATGGCTTTGGAAGACTTTGTAGATTGCTGGGATGTGTGTGTGTGTGTGTGTGTGTTTGGGGTGGGGGCAGGGATAAGTTGGCTGACTCCATTCTCCTCTCTCCCTCTGATCTTCTTGCCTTTGGCTGACTCTAACCAGAAGTCAGAGGAGAAGGCATGCCAGTGACCCAATCCATACAGCTCAGCTATCTGCACACAGAACAGGTGGGCAAGGGAAGGAGGGGATATTCAAAAGGACAAAAGAAGATGCTGGAATCTTTTGAAAGTCATTGAACAAGGCTCAACATTAGAAAAGGAATATTTCATATTTATTAATCCAGCTGCAAGGGAAGGAAAAGTTTAGAGGCAGGGGACTCTACTAGGGAGATCAGATTTGACATTTTCCACAGTGTAAATTAATAAGGACTTGGACCAGATTGTTGGTAAAGGGAATAGAAATAAAGTAACCAATGTAAAAAGCATTATAAAGAATTTTCAGTAGTTCATATAGTCAAATTTGTGGTATTATCATCTTTGGATTTAGATTGCTAAATATTATAAAATATATGCAATTTGTGAATTTAAAGTTTGACAGCATCTCCCTTCTTTAATAATTTATCGAATGTAAATTTATTTCCTCTCTCTTTTTTGCATTTTGAATTTCTTATTGACATGCAGACCTTGTTGAAGATACAGATCAGTGCTTCTATAATTTCAGTTGAAAAACACTAACAACTTATAGAATGCCAAATGAGAGTTCAACGTTCAGGTTTCTCTCTGATTTTATTACATATTTTCTTCAGGTAAATAATGGTTTATCATAAATTCTGAAAATCAAACTATTCCAATTGCTCTATATCTTATAAGTGAAAGTGCACATGAGATATTTATCACACAGTAATGAACTTATTTTATCTGCAAATATCTATCTCAGTCGATAAGGTCTAACCATTTCCCTTTTATGTAGTCATTTATCTTTAGCAAAGTATAGGTATAAATTGTCTGTCAGAATAACCTACACAGATTTCAGTTACTGACATAATATCATAAAGGTACAATAGCTCAGTCTCACTCCATTATATGATCTTTCAAAAGTCAAGAGCGTGCAGCACTCTATTTTAGGTACTTACCTTTCAGGAAGTTTCTCTGTTTTATTCTCTGCAGAAAGATAAAGAGTAATTTTACCAGGAGATAATGCCAACTGAAGAGGTAAAATCTATTTTCATTCCCTTTTCCCTTTAACTTCACTTCACTTGTCTGTAGAAAGTTAGTTTGCAAGAATAAAACTCTTGTTGGCCTTATCAGATATCTCCAAGTATTTCTTCAACTAACCCTTATGCTCTGAAAAACAATTCAAAGGGGCAGAGGCTGGTAGCTTAGGAGCCCTTTGGGCAGTGTTCCAAATATACAGTGGCTAGGCTCACCTGCTGAAGAAGATCCAGGTGCTCTTGGAAATTGCTGAAATTCTTCCCAATATCAAAGAGGTAGAAAACCTGCTGGCAGATGCTGACCCAGTCTTCATGTTCCCCTGTGTCAGAGATGAGATCCAGAAAGATAGGTATGCTCCCCATACTGCTTCCTGACACATTGCAATGTAGCGCCATTAGGGGTGCAAAATGGCCACACGCTAAGACCATGCCCTCCCCCTAATCCAAGTGCAATCCTATTGGCCATTTTTGCTTTGTTGTGTTTTGTACTGTTATTATTTTTTTACACTGAGGTCTACTTGGTTCCCCCATATTCCTGCTATAAGTGAAACCATCCGATATTTTTCTTTTTCCTTTTGGCTTATTTCACTGAGCATAATTCCTTCCAGTTCCATCCATGTTGCTGCGAATGGCATGAGTTTATCTTTTTTGATTGCTGAATAATATTCAGCAATTGTGTATATATGCCACATCTTCCTGATCTAGTCATCTATTTTTGGGCACTTGGGTTGTTTCCAGGTTTTACCTATTGTAAATAGTGCTGCAATAAACATAGGGGTACAGGTGTTTCTTTGCATCAATGTTTGTCTGTCCTTTGGGTAGATCCCTAGTAGTGGAATTGCTGGGTCGTATTGTAGCTCCATTTTTAGTAGACTGAGGAAACTCCAGACAGCTTTCCATAGTGGCTGGACAAGTTAGCCCTCCCACCAGCAATGTAGGAGAGTTCTTTTTCACTACATCCTCACCAACATTTGTTGTTGCTTGGTTTTTTTTTTTTTGTGCCATTATTTTTTCTTATACAAGAGCTGGGGCACAGGCCAGAGGCGTGGGAGGGTGAGAGGATTCACCAGAGACAGAGCAGGGAGCTGAACAGGCAGAAGGACCGAACTACACTGCTGAGGGGAGCAGAGGGTGAGACAGGAGAGGTCTGCCATGCTATGTGGGTATCTCCCTGGCCGGCCGGAAATCAAACCTGCACTGCAAGGCTGCGGACAGCTTCACAGCGCTGTTCAAACTGCTGCACCACTGGGGAGGCCCTTTCTGTACTATTTGTTGTAAGAAGCAAAGGGATTTTAAGACTAAAAGAAGCTCAATTCATTTAGAGCAGCAACCTGACAGAATCCACAAAACCAGGAGTGGGTGCCTTCCCCACTACCTCCCATGTGCCAGAGTCTTCACATTTGGGGAGATAGGGTCAGCACACCTGGAGAGTGATGGAATAACTTTGTCCTGGAACCCTCGTTTGTGAATATGATCTCTCCAGACAGGCAAGGGTCAGAGTTGGAATGCCTTTCTCCAATCACTAGTCAATCTTTCCATGCCTGTGTCTAGTGGAGTCTGCATACTATGCAAGAAGGAAACACACAGGTGATTTCAGATTTGTTATGTGTCCAGTCCTAGCAAACCAGCTGCCTTTGTTACCCTTCTTTCTTACAAAAGTTACATTCTCTTTGGGGATGGTATTTTACCTTTCCATCTTTTTCAATGTACCCAATAGTTTATTTCAAAGCCCACTGGAATGCCAGAGAGTGAAAAATGACAAAAAATCAACTAGACTGCCTTTGAGTGTTGATGACTTTGACTCACAGTATCCTTGTAAGAAATATCTAGAAGGGTATGATATGAGTACCCTTCTGTTTGCTGGTTGGACTCATCCTTGGGAGTGTTGCTTTTTGTCTGAAATTAAGCCTTCATTTAATTTCAGTCCAATTGAAAGCTTGTTTTTGGTGCTCCCTTTCCTGCTGCCCTTTCTCTGATGTCCGGGACACAGAATGTCTTTGCACCCATTAAAATCTACTTTTCACAAAGGTTCTGAGAGGACTTTCTCCCTGAAGCACAAATATCTGAAGTAGCTTGAAGAATGATCTCCCTCAGGCATTGTAGTTTGTAGGAATCAAGATGTAGTTTATAGGGACTGGCAGATTTTCTTTAGAATTTTTTTTTTTTTTTTTATGATTGATGTACTTTATTTTTTTTTTTTCAATGAAATTAGAACTTTAATTTGAGAGTTAGCACCATGTAGAGTGCTTTACAATAAAATCCTAGGTAGAATTCTTTTTTTTTTTTTTTTTTAATAAATTTTATTGTTATATTCCCCATACAATTGCAGCCCCCCCATTCTGACCCCAATCCCTCCCCTCCCACCCCCGCCCCCCTAAAAGTGTCTCTGGTTCATAGTTTTTTGTTGATTTTGATTTTCACTTTCTTATAGTTATTCATTTTCCTGGTCCCTTATTTAAGTTTTCTAGATTCCTGCTATGAGTGAGACCATCCGGTATTTTTCTTTTTCTTTTTGGCTTATTTCGCTGAGCATGATCCCTTCCAGCGCCATCCATGTTGCTGCAAATTGCATGTGTTTATCTTTTTTGAATGCTGAGTAATATTCCATGGTATATATGTACCACATCTTCTTGATCCAGTCATCTACTTTTGGGCATTTGGGTTGTTTCCAAAGCTTAGCTATTGTAAACAGTGCTGCTATAAACATAGGGGTGCAGGTGTTCTTTGGAATTGATGTTTCTGTGTCCTTTGGGTAAATACCTAGGAGTGGAATTGCTGGATCATATGGAAGCTCTATGTTTAGTAGGTCCAGAAATCTCCATACAGCTTTCCACAGTGGTTGGACCATTTCTTTAGAATTTTTAAGGAAAAGATTTTTTTTTGGCAGCCCTCTATTGTCATTTTTATGGCTTCCTGGAAGATTTCCACATTCCAGGGGGCATAGAATCTTTCTGTGACTGGAGCACAGGCACACCAGCCACAACCCAGAGGGTTCCTCCCTCCTTACCCAGGGAGCATCAAAAGAGGTTTTGAAAGTTGAGGCATCAAAGAATCTCAGGGATGGGAGGAATCTAAAAACTTCTCAAAGCTGGATTTTTCTAACTCCTTGATTTGTCTGTCCTGCACTAATCTACTAGGAAGAATTTACACAAGGATTCTACAGAAATCCAGAGCCTTGCCTCCCTAGTTTTTTCTTTTTTTTTTTTTTTTTACTTTTTTTTTTTTTTTTTTTTTTTTTACATCATTGGTCATTTTTAAACAATATTTGCTTCCCCTCACTCCCTCAGGTGTAGTCCCCATAGAGTTTCCTTCACCAAAGCACCTGTGCACCATCACCTCAGTCCCCTGGTCTCCTCCCTCCTTCCCTCTCACCCCTCTCCCGCCTCCTCCCTTGCAGTATGTCTCTTGTTTATAATTGTCCGTTTTTGCTTTGTTGTGTTTTGTACTGTTATTATTTTTTTTTACACTGATGTCTTATTTCATTCGCCTATATTCCTGCTATAAGTGAAACCATCTGATATTGTTCTTTTTCCTTCTGGCTTATTTCACTGAGCATAATTCCTTCTAGTTCCATCCATGTTGCTGTGAATGGCATGAGTTTATCTTTTTTGACTGCTGAATAATATTCAGCAATTTTGTATATATGCCACATCTTCCTGATCCAGTCGTCTATTTTTGGGTACTTGGGTTGTTTCCAGGTTTTACCTATTGTAAATAGTGCTACAATAAACATAGGGGTACAGGTGTTCCTTTGCATCAATGTTTGTCCGTCCTTTGGGTAGATCCCTAGTAGTGGAATTGCTGGGTCATATGGTAGCTCCATTTTTAGTAGACTGAGGAAACTCCAGACAGCTTTTCATAGTGGCTGGATCAGTTTGCACTCCCACCAGCAATGTAGGAGAGTTCCTTTTTCACCACATCCTCGCCAACATTTGTTGTTGCTTATTTTTTTGATATGTGCCATTCTCACTGGTGTAAGGTGGTATCTCAATGTGGTTTTAATTTGCATTTCCCTGATTATAAGAGATGTTGAGCATTTTTTCATATGCTGGTTGGCCATTTGCATTTCTCCTTTGGAGAAATGTCTTTTAAGTTCTTCTGTCCATTTCTTGACTGGATTGTTTCTTTTGTTTTTGTTGAGTCACGTGAGTTCTTTGTATATCTTTGTGATCAGTCCCTTATCAGTTGACTGGAGTGCAAAGATTTTTTCCCAATCAGTGGGGTGTCTCTCTGTTTGGGTTAATGTCTCTTTTGCTGTGCAGAAGCTTTTCAGTTTGATGTAATCCCAGGTGTTTATCTTTGTCTTCACTATCACTGCTTTGGGTGATGAGTCTTTAAAGATGTTATTGCAATGTATGTCTTGTATTGTTTTACCTATATTTTCTTCTATATATTTTATGGTTTCTGGTCTTATGTCCAGTTCTTTTATCCATTTTGAGTTGATTTTTGGCATGGTGAGAGGTAGTGGTCTAGTTTCATTGTTTTGCATGTGGTGGTCCAGTTTTCCTAGCACCATTTATTGAACAAACTGTTCATGTTCCATTGCATATTCTTTGCTCCTTTGTCAAAGAGCAGTTGTCCATATAAGTGTGGTTTTATTTCTGGGCTCTCTATTCGGTTCCATTGGTCTGTGTGTCTTTTTTTTTCCAATACCAAACTATTTTAATTATTAGGCTTTGTAGTATAGCTTCAAGTTTGGAAGTGTGATGCCTCCTTTCTCCTTTGTTTTCATCAGTTGGGCTTTCACCGCCCTAGTTTTTCATGGGTGCTGGCTGGCCAATGCCTGAAATCTGACCACAGAACTTCACTTTCCTGTTGAATGCTATCCCTAGGCTGTGTGACAATGTAGGAAGACTCCCCAGGGAACACATGTCTTGCAAGCCAGTCACAGCCCCAGCAAAGTTATGCACATTTGGAAGGATTACACTAGGCCAATGGGGTGTGAAATTGCCCACCCCACAGTGGGCACACATGAGCTGGAGAGAGAACCCACTGGAATGAAAGTCAGGCTGTATGGGGTCCTGACCCTGCTCTGCTACCAACGGGGCCTGTCACCTACTCCTCTAATCTGTACAATGAGGGTGTTGGCTCGATGATCTCTAGCCAGTGTGTCTAAAACTTTTAAGTGCAAATAAATTACCTGGGGTTCCTATTAAAATGCAAGTTCTAAAAGTAGGTCTAGTGTGGGAGCTGAGTCTGTGTACTTCCTATCATGTTCCTAGGTGGCTGTGAGGCAGCTGGTATGGGGACAGCACTTGTGCAAAAACTGGGACTCCCTCCACATTTAATCTTCTCTAAGTCCACATGACGGTACAAGAAAGATCTAGATTTTGATTAAGCTTTTGATATTGGGGTGGGGAGAAAGTGAGAGAGAAGAGG